TAGGGAAAAATGATCAAAATAACACCATGTTTGTTCTTCTTGCTTTTCCAAGAGAGTTAATCGGGAGAAGGATGCTGGATCCCAAACTTAGTTGTAAACTTTGCTTGTCATGAACAAGGCAGCTTGGGACAGAACCTGCTTTTTCATCGGCTGCGCGCCGCTCTCGGCACTCACCATTTGTTCACAAATGATGCACATATGGTGTGGCTGACAAAGGAAGTGTAGCTGTGCCTCGCACTGGGTTGTTTTTTTTTACAGTGTTTATTCTTTTATGAAGATAACTAGTTCCCTGCTTAACAAAAGAACTATGCGACACTCGATCCTCTTTGTGGTGCTACATCTTTATGGGATTTCAATAGGCTACTGGCAAAACAATTAAGACTGCATTTTTAAAGCAGTGTTTTAGTGGCGCGTTGGCATCTCTCATTACTTATTAAGTGTAAAAAAAAATGTGCTACGCCGGATCAGATCAGCAATCCTGCTTCTCTTGAATATCCAGGCACTGACACTGCTTGGTGCCAGATGCTTTGGAGGAAGATGAAGGAAAAAGCCAGTGTGGGTCTTAAATGGGACCTCACTGTGCCGTTTAGAGATTGGCAAATTCCCGAAGCAGTCAACGTGCCTTGCTGATGGTATTTCTCCCATGTGTGCTCCTAGACATTGTCTCCATTACAACGTTGTATGGCGTGGCACGCGGTTGTGAAGAATCGCGGTAGCTGACACAGAGGTAAATGATAAGGTACGGGGGCAGGAAGGATTTGGACATGCTGTTGCATCGTTTGCCTTGATGAACGGCGATTAAACTTGAGAGCAAGCTCATGCAATGGGGCATGGGATTTGTCTGGGTTCACTCAGTGCCTTTCGTTGGGGGCAACACCGGGTCAGGTAAAAAATAAAGGGGAAGAGGAGACAAAAGGATGGTTCGAACTAAATAAAGTACTCTTTTGTAGGCCAGGCCTGCATGCCCAGCTCTTTGTAGGAGTTGTGTCTGAGCCTGAGAGCTGTGAATCCGGCTGCAGGCCTTTAGGGTGGGATTTTCAGAATTGGCTTAAATCTGTTCCTCATCAAGTTGATGGTAAAACAGTAATCAAGTGCAATAGGAACAGAATTACCCAGCGCGAAGCACTTGTGAAATGCCGCCTGCGGACGCAGTACCTCAGTTGTCATCTACGGTGGGATCCTCGCCTTGATTTAATCTACGTGTCAGGACTCCGGAGCTTTTCCTGCAGCAAAGAGGTGATTGCAGTCGTCCCGAGAGCCAAGCCTTGAAGGAAGACAACCCTGAGCCAATTTAGAAGAGAGACTGGAGACGCAAATACGCCTCGGTGTTGAGTGAAAGAAAGCGCTGCTTCCTTTGGCTCAGAGCACGGGTGTCTCCTTGTATTGACTGATCTACGTTTTCTTTGCATTTGGGCTTTGCGGAGTTTATTTTATAAGACTGCTTCCTGTTGGAAGCGTTTGACGTAGATATTAGAGTTGGTAATTGATAACGAACCGTTTCTTTGGCAAATTTTTCTGTGTTGCTGTAGACCAGGGCTGGGCAATTATTTTGGGCGGAGGGCCGCTTAGCAAGTTTTGGCGAGCTGTTGAGGGCCGCATGGGTAACCCCGCCCCTTGACAGGTGCCCTGCCCCCTGGTTGCCCTCTTGGGACTGGAAGTCCCGCCCCTGGCTGGGGGCCCCAGGGAAGCTCCTGGCTGGCCCTGGGGGCAGTGTGGGGGGCCACCTGAGGCCGCTGGGAGGCGGGAAGTCCAGGGATGTGGCGCGGAAGTTGCATCCTGCGCCGGAGGCTTGGGATGGCAGCGGCCTGGCTGTGCCCCCAACGGGCATCCCCAGCGGGTGCTGCCACCCTGGGGGGAAGGTTCACCCCCACACAGCCCCCATGCTGCCCCCAGGGCTGGACAGGGGGTTGGGAGCCAGCAACAGTTGGGTGGTGCCCCGGGGCCAGTGCCGGCGGGTCTCCCTGCCTGGGGTGCAGCTGCCTGGGCTCTATGGAGCCGGGCTGGGCTGTCCCAGCAGGGAGAGAGGGGAGACACCTGCTCTGGGATCCACCGGTGTTGGCTCCCGCGCACCCCCTTGCTCCCAGCCCCCCCGCCCCAGCACCATGGCCAGATGGGGACCAGCGTGCCCCCCGACCCCCTCTGACCTGAGGTTCCCGCTCCCGCACGGGCGGGAACAGCCTCATGGTCCCTCCAGCTGGGGGGCGGGGCAGGGCGGGCCCTGCTGTTCCAGGGGCCTGCTGTGACTTCCACTGGGTCCTGCTGCCCCTGGCTTATGTCACTTCTGACTGAAGCCAGAGGGAAATAAATATTAATTAAAATAAAATTTCTAGGGGCCCCATGGGCCGGACAGAATTGGCCCACAGGCCGTATTTTGCCCACCCCTGCTATTGACGGTGCTGTGATCTATATATGGGTGGCTCAGATGAGAATATTTCCACGGCTCTAGAGGCTTTGCAAGTTGAATGTACAGGCAGTCCTCGGACTTACGACACAATTGGTTCCTGAAAACAGAGTCTTAAGTCGAAATGTTGCATCTCGTAACCAATTTTCTCATAAGAAACAATGTTATAAATGAGGGATTGGTTCCTGAACCAAGGCCCGATACCCTATTTTCACTAAGAAATACCCCAGAATTTTGTACTCGATCAATTATAGATGAGCAATATAGCTACATTAATGTATGTATATTGTAAATAGCAATCATATTGATTTGGAAGGACTTCTTTGAGGTGACTTTGCTGGATGTTTTGAAAGGCTCTTGGTTGGACGTTTTGAAGGGCTCTTGCCTGGAGTCGTCTCAGGAGTCTCGGCTGCAGGTTTTTCTGGAGTCTCGTCTGCTGTCTTAAACAAAGCATCCGAGGAAGTTTGGACAGACGTTCTCCAGGGAGATGAGCGACACAGCAAACTTGTTCGCTGGTGTGGCGTGGCGTCGGATCAAGCATTGTAAAGTCAAAACTGACGTCTTAAAGTTGAAACAGGGTGTCGATTTATAAACGTTGTTAGTGCAAAACATTGTAATGCGAAACATTGTAAGTCGAGGACTGCCTGTATTGGGTAAATCAATGGTGCCCAGCCTTTCTAGCCCTGTGCGCCGGAGGAGTGGTGGGGGGTTAGACAGCAGGCCAGATCCAATGCACGAAATTGGTCTGGGGGCGAGATCCAGCTTGGGGTTGGTGCACGGGTGTGATGACATGTGGCTCCAGCCCCATGCACTGGATGAGGCCCTGGTCTTGTGTGCCCGAACAGGTCCACTGCCCCAGCTCCATGTGCTAGCTGATCCAGCACTTGGGCCCTTGTTCTCCTGCCCATGGGACTTCGAAATTTGGCGGTGGGGGAGAGGTGGCAGTGCTCATTGCCACCATGTGCTCAGTGCCAAGTTTCTGGACCCATGGGGAGACCTGTGAGCTGAATGACGTGGCCCTGTGGGATGGATCTGGCCTTTGGGCTGGAGTTTGAGCACCAGTGATATAAATCATCAGCACCGTTTGAACAACAAATAGTATAATCAGATATACAATCTAAAATTCCCTTTCAGGGGATATTAGCATATGTGGGCTACCAAAACCCCTTAGAGCCATTGCCCTCAACTTGTGTAGGGACTGACTATCAAAGAATCGTGAACAAGTACATGAGAATTGAAATGAAAATGTGTATATCTATTTCTCCTTTGTTCAACCAAGTTAATTCTAGTTTTATCTCCACTGCTCCAATGTCTGTTGAGCGATCAAGGTATTTTGCCTCCCGTCCCATGCCGTGTTTCAATCAGGAGAGCTGTCAGTCACAATGATATAACGATGATGTGGGCGATGGTGGTGTCACTGTGGCAGAAATGCCCCGTCGGTGCCCCTCTCCCGAGATCTGTCTCAGCCAGCCTGAGAGGCTGCTGTTGAATCCCTCACAGCGGGGATCTCGCTCCTTGTCTGCAGACAAAAGCCTGGCGCCTGGGAGGCAATGCTCTGGTCACCTGGGCGGGGAGGGGGGAAGACCCGGCCCTGCGTGCGGGCCCAGGTAGCCAGGGATGCTTTGCAGATTGGTTGGTTTGTAGCCAGTATTGGCAGGGTTCGGTGGGC